AACAATAATAAATGATCAATTATTATCTGTCTAAAACATTCCACTGTCAGAGATTCGGTCTCCAATAAACCAAGAAACCAATGTAACTAATGTAACTCGAGTTAAATGAGCAAAACCTAAAATAAATTCGATCTATATTAAGTTTATATTATTTTATAAAAAAAACACATCTCGTACGATATTATGAAATATATGTATATACTTAATCTTCTAAATACTCCTTGTTCTTATTATCCAACTCTAAATATCTAACTAACTAACGCTATATCATTCAAAGATTTATTTTATGCATAGGTGGCGTGGCTATTTAGCATACATATCCACCTTATATAAAGGATTTAGACAGCTAGGCTGGGAGAGCCACGGACATCCTTTTCTGTGGCATCAAACCTATGCCTCCAAATATGTCTATGACATTATTAAGAAAGCACACAGACGGCGGACAAAGGCTTGGGGTTTACTTCCGTGGCCGTTGATAACTATGTATCATCATTGACTGCGACTACGCCGGTTCTGCGCCAATGATGATGGCTGGCGGGATGGCGGGGTAGCGGGCTAGCGGGATGGCGGAGTGGCTGGGTGGCTACTGTTTATGGTGTGCGTCCCTTTGTCCTGAGGACAATAACACTTCCGTGCGGAACATTATCATAAAGGGGTTAAGTCGCTGATTTTCATCGTGTGTGCTCATTTAAGAACTCGCATGCGGCCCCGCCATATTGCCCACATTGACTTGGGACGCGCAACACTCCCGCAAGTGCTTAAGGAATCGCGCTGAATTTCACCGCTTTGTTTCTGTGCTCTTATGACAAAGATGGCAGCGGCTCATTATGCGCCCCGATAAGCGATGTGCCTCCCACGTGCGTTTTTCGCCTCGGGTTACTACAAGCCATGTACCGGGATTATGTGGGTGGATGTCTTAAGTAGCGCTGCAACACCATTTGATGGCGGTCCGTTGCCTGCTTGTGTTATCTTCAACTCCTGCACAGCCAGGCGAGTCTACGGTTTCGCACCCCGCAGTCCGCAGTTCGCAGTTCGCAGTTCGCAGTTCGCTGTTCGCTGTTCGCAACTCGCAGCTCGCAGCGTAAAGTGTTCTTGTCAGTCTTTCATTTGCCACCCTTTTTTATATTTGCAAAAAATTTTGCATTTGGTTAAATTTTGTTCCCCGAAACTCAGATGGACGTTGGCATTGGTGTAATTCGAGCTATGCCTCCTGGTTAAGTAACAGGGCGCCTGTGTCTCGAATATGTTAGCGTGCCTTCGCTCCTTTGTTTTTGTCATGTTTTTCCACGATTGTTTCGTTTGCGCATTGAAGGCTGATCCTAATTTAACACGTTCGAATAACCTTGAAGCGTTTCTTATTTCGCGCCACGCAAAGAGTGCCTGATGTCAGCGGGTAAACAGAACAGAACAGAACAGAGCAGAACAACAACAAGCCGCTGTCGCACGCAGAAGGGGGAGCTCGCCCCGAGAGCCAACTGAGCCAACTTTGCTGTTGCGGATTCAATTAGACGCTGTCGGCTAACTGGTGGCTGCCAGCGAATGGTTTTGACCTCGACTGCCGCGCTGTCGCTCTTCCTGCTGCTCGGCGATGTCTTTGTGCAGCCACGGAACGCTTCATTGTGATTCTTACGGCTTCACGGGGATTTTGCATTTCACTAATCTGTTCGAAACGGCGGGACACGTTCGCAAGGTTTTCGAAAAAGGCTATTAAACCAGAATAGGGAACAATGCGTCGCTCGAGCCAAAAAATAACTATATACATTTTACTCTGTATACTCGCTCACGCAGCGATTCAAGTATATTCGTTTTGTGCAATGACCGCTCGCCTGTTTGTATGAGCTTTGCGTGTTATTATTGCCAAGTCGAATAATTTAGGATTATTCTGATTCGTCCACGTAATTGCACTACGAAGAAGAACCCAAATAAATACACCCCCATAGGGGGTACCATTAGGTTGACACTAGTTTTGTCAATATCCTATTGCTAAAAGTATTTATATGAAACAGAAATTCATTCATTGTCTGCGTGGCAAATCGAATAACCCTCTTCATTCATATATGTTATAGTTGGAAACTATCTTTATGAGTAGGTTACCCTTGAGTTTCTCCATTCATAAATGTTGTATATGCATGACTAGGATCGTGGTGAATCAAATAGAGCTTTATGACATGGAGTTTTTGAAGTAGAAGTAAGGAACTGCAGACGCTCTTTTAAGGTAAATAAAAATGTATTCTGCGCCCGACTCCACTATTCCTACTGGATTTTTTATTTTTTACTGTTATTTTAAAATCTGATGTGGCGCAATTTTTCTAAGCAAACTAATTGTCTGCAAAGATCATGCTATTCACTATTATAAATAATTTCCTGTCTTTTGGAATTCTTCGTTAAAATTAAGGGTTTTTTAACGTGAACAGTGAGGGACTTAAAGCGACATTCTATTAAATCGGGTCCAAAAGTTGTTTGAACACCTATGGTGGCATTATACATGTGGGTGGGTGTTACAGTACAGTAACATCCCGTTTTCATATATTTGATGTACAAGGCTGACATACGAAAAAATCGCACACATAGCAGAAGGAAGAGCAAGAAAGAAACGTGAACAGTTGCGGACAGTTGAGGGAAAGAGGACAAACTAAGTTCGGCTCGACATTCAGTTACGCGCCGCAGTTTCGGTCATTCTTGAGCTATATGTGCATAATGAGGGCATGAATATACATACATATGTACATAGACATGTATGTATTTGTATGCCTATTTTTCTCGCAAATTACAGAATCGTCCCCTTGGCCATTGTCTCAAGAAAAACGTGATGTGTAGGACACGGTATGTGCCACATGCGCATACACCTATAGGATAATTGCAGCTGCGCAGGTAAACAGCCAGCTTAAAGATAAGAAAACATTGGGCGGATTATGTAGGGGTGCGATTTTCGTCTTTGTCGCAGCTTGAGACGGCAACGAACTGACGTCTGTTCCGATTCCAATAAAACTCGCGCCGCAGGACATCCGCCAGCGTATATATGAGTTTGCGCTGGGATATTTGTAAAACGCATCTCTGTATATAGATACGTGTACATATATATAGACCTTATCACAAGCGTCAATGTAATGTTCAATACTGAGATTTGCGTGAAAACGCTGAAAAAGTGTGTCCAGAACTCATTTTAATAACAAAAGAATTCACTGACGCGATCCTCTCAATATTGATTCACCTGTATTGAGATTTAAAGTAGACTAGGAGATAAATAATTAGGCTACACATGCGTATACGAGTTTTCAAGTATAGCAAGCCCCAATTCAAATGGCAAGAGTATGCTGATGAATAAAGAGTAGAGAGCGTAGTGAGTAACCTTTGCCATTTTATTTGCAGCATTCGCAGTAGGAAATTTAACAAGTTGTTTTCCTCACTTCCTGCTGCGTCAGCAATTTTGAACTAATCTGAAAAAGGGTCGTTTACTTATAGCAGTAAGAAGGTGCATCTTCGTCCCATGCTGAGCGACAGTGTTCACAGCAATTCGTGGAAGTTGTGTCCAGTTTGTCGAGGTATTATTTTACGAAATCGCGACATTTACGTTGAACCTATTTTAGTTACCTAAGTAAAAATTTCCCTAATTGGAGTCATGCGAGAAAATATGTAGTCGAATATTAGTATATCTCATAGCTGTGTTGGTCTGAGGATCATTTTATATTTATTTATTCTGGAGCCTCTATAATAATTATCATTTTCTCTATCTAAAATAAAGCTAAGCCAACATCATATATTAAATTTTACAATTCACTCAGGTTTCAATTGAACTTTATTTGCCTTTGATACATTTTCTCCTATACTCATCCTATACTCACTCCATTGTTTAATAACTTTTCTTATGGATGGACTATTTACAAGAAACTTTCAGATCGTAATTATAATATTGAAATGCATGCAAATGCCAAAGCACAGTCTCTAGTATTATTGTATTTTTGTTATTATTTACAAATTTATGGGTGAGGGGGTGGATATAAGGGTGGCGACTCTAGCTTCAAAAATGTAGCATTAGGAGTTATCGGTTTTTCGAGATAAACTCTATATCCGCGCTATGTATACGAACATTAAAAAAACAGAATTCTAGTCTCTCGCTTTTTTATCTTCTGAGATCTACGTATTCACACATACGGACAGACAGACAGAGCTAAATCGACTCAGCTCGTCGCCCTGATAAATAATATTACTTCATTATTGGGTCTGCGATGATTCCTTTCGCCTGTTATATACTTTTCAAAAAACTATTATACCCTGATTTCCCATGAAAATGTTTAGGGTACGTTATCAGAGAAAAATCTTGTTTAAAACTGACAGAGTATTGACCGTGAATGAAGCAACGCCAAACTGAAAACTTCTTGCTTGAAGTAGTTGAATAGTTTTAAAAGTCTTTGCGCCGAATGACTTTCGTTTGGTCTTTTGACATACGAATTTTCGTAAAATTAAGGTCACCATGTCAGAAACCTTTTAATTATAATGAAAACTAAAGCCAAAGTTAAAGCCTAATAGAAACTGATTTTGGTTACTTATCTGAAAGTGCTATGAAGAAATAACCAAATTTATTGAATATAGAAAAGATGATTATCATAATTAATTCAATTTTGATATGTATGTAATTAGGTTTTCGAACATAACATGATTTCTTGAATAGTAAAGTCTGCCTCTTCACTGTGTATGTCAATGAGCTCAATACTCGGTGTTATTTAAGCTGCTATTAAATAAAAACGGGGTAAGGCTCTATACATATTTCCAAAAATTCCCATTATTCCTTAAATAGGAAATTAAATGAGATTATTAATTCACATAAAATTTGGAATGCTTCATTTCTCTATGATCTCTATGCATTTAAATAAACGGTAAACGATATACACATACAAAACACATGCCATAGAACATTTTCATTTAGCTAATCAGTTTAAGATTCAATATTGAAAAATATCAAATTGAGTAATTCATAAGACTACTTCGATATTGTAATTAAGCCAACTCGCCTCATATCCCCGGATACGTTGCTTCGAAAACGCCGTGGAAACTCGTACGAGATGGCAACGCTGTTGGCCAGCATGCTCATTGGTGCTGGCCATCCAGCTATGGTCGTGTCTGGGGTAGCACGTCAAGAAACTGTTCACAACGATCAACGCAACGTGCCGTATCCATATCCCATCGTCACTGAAGACGATGTTGAGCAGGAAGAGGCCAAGGAAGAGAAGCCCGCCAAGTACAAGCTGCGCGCTTTACCGGACTTGGAGAGCCATCTGGAGGAGGAAATGGCCGAGATCCACAGACGCAGGGCCGAAGAGCACAGTCGAATAGAAAATGAGCTCTTGCGAAAGCAAATGGCGGTAATATTTGCGATCAGGTTTCTTTTATTCGGAATCTATATATTATGTTGAATTATTATTTTAGGAGCTTGAACTTCTAGCAGTCGATCGATATCACTATCGTCGATCTCACGCTTGGGTCGCAGTTATTAATAACGCGCCCTGGAGTATAAAGCCGAAAATCACTTATACGGACGTGAATGGAGATGTTGTGGAAGCCCCACCCACTGCCATATTCATAGAGCCCTCCACGGGATTCATGTGTGAGTCGGGCTGTAAGCAGTACATTCTGATCGACAGCGTCTGGAATCAATATAATTACTATGTCAATAAGCAAACTTATCAGCGAGTCAGTGAGTTGCGCTGGGACCTTCGGGAAATCGCTGATTGGGGACACATGCTGCCAGGAGAGCCGCCGGAAATGCGCACCTACAAAGTGTCTTCAGATGAAAACATCGCGGACGGCGACACCGATATAAATGAGGAAAAGCATTTAGACGCTATTTGCAGCTGGGTGAATCGACTTCACATCGGCTACGCGGACTACGAGCACCGTTTCCCAAAGTCGGAGAAAAAGGTGCAGTATTATGGGGCCATTCACGAACGGTTCTCGCCGTACTCGCAACGGGACGGCAAGGTGATGCAGCTGACACTCTTTAATGACAAAATGTGCACCGATCCAAAAGTCCGCTACGAATACTATAAGAACCGATTTGACCTAATGGAACAGTTGGTGTATACGTATGAAAATGATCACTATGAGGAGCGCTTTGCCAAAGGCCGCACTGACAGTTTGAAATGTGAGCTCAGTTTTCGTTCTCATAACCATTTCAATATAATCAATAATTAATATAAAATTCATTGCTTTACATTTTCTATTATAGCCATTGAGTATTTCTCGGATTCATCATTGCCCCGAAAACTAAAGTTTATCTCCAGCTCTAGACTAGATACACTGGAAACTATAGACTTGACTCCGGGATTGATCATTCTAAATTATACGGGCCAAGGTGACAGGTGTTGCTACAGGGAGTATCTATACAAACCCAACGGCGTAGTGCTTAAAGTAAGTAATGTCCGACAAAGCAAGTTCTGCTTACAATACCCTTACCTTTACCTTTCCAGAAAGTGGTTGAAAAATTCCATCGAGCCGAGAAGGACGACATTGTAGCAAACGACATTGCGAGCAGAACGTTTTTGTTTCAGCAAAACAAAATTATTATCAAATTCCACTACACCTTCGGAGCTCTTACTGCTACCACAGTAGAGTTCACAAAGCCCCCGAAACCAGATTACGGGACGGAATTGGTATACGATGAGAAGTTAACCAAGATATACAGGGTATAACATTAACATATTTAATAGATAACAGAAATAATACATACATACATACATATCAGCGATGAATGATTTCAATATTCTAAAAATTCCTAGGCAAATCCATTGGATCCGATACGGACTAATCTGGAGTTGTACAAATTGCTATTAGAGCAACTGCAGTCAGAGGATCGAATAAAAAAGACTTTCATTGCCGTTCAGGACGATATCAGCAATATTTTCGATCAGCGCAATAGGGAAAAGACGGACCCCAAACTGAAGTTTAGCTTGTTCGACCCATTACGCAATGGAGCTGCTCGTGCACTCCGAATGCAACAGGTATACTCCGCCTCTGAATTCTCCAGTGTTTACCTATCGCATCTGTTTTATTTTCAGTTTAAAGAAGAACAGGAGAAGAAGCGCGAACTGTCCAGTAAGCCAGCGGACTTCTTGGCTCCGTATTTGGTACCATTCAAAGATCAGGATGAACTAACTCAGGAGCAATCTGTGGCTGCATACAATGCCTGCCTGAATGATCTTAAGTCCCTATTTGTCACTTTGCTCAACAATTTACAAAGGCAATACGAAGACGTAAGAATAATGAAGATTACCAAAAAGTTATGGAACATAAATTATTTTTTTACATCTGCAGCTCACGAGCGAGGCGAAATCTTTAAACCGTTTCTTAAACAAGTTCGAGAATCAATTTGACAATTTCGACTATAATCGTCTGGTACAGCAGGCCAAGGATCTAGAACTCAGAAAGCGAATGGTCCAGCAGCGCCTAACTCTAACTCACCAGGAGTCTCAGAAGAAGTATGAATGGGTGAAGGCTTCACTGCAAAAAGATCCTCGATTAAATTTGAAAATGGAGGAAGAAAAGGAATCCGACGAATAAAATTTGTAATGAAAACGGAATTAAAAAACAAACAACCCGAAAACATATTTAAAAAGTGTTATACGAATGTTTGGAAAAATTAAATGAATAAATTGTTTGAATTAATTAAGAAGGTTTGAGGTTTGAGATTGGAGTTTGACCCCCCAAGTACGAGTCAATTGAACCTTAACACTTGAAGCCATAATACTATATCAATTTGACCAAGGCTATCGCCTTGAAATGAAATGTTTCCAAAAAATAATTTCCGTTTTTATTGACTGATTTAATTAAAAGTTTAGCATTATTAAAAAACAGAATATATTTGATTTGAGTACGTTTTCGTTAATGTACCACGGAACATGACAAGCACATATGTTAAAATACATGTAACTTGAACACGAAAAGAAAATATCTATGATTTCAAACAATAATCACAACCTTGATTAGGCGAGCCTTATGTTGCCTTAAGCACTCATGCTTAAAAGGAGACGTACGTAAAGGAGAGCAAACAGAAGACAGGGGTCGATTCGAGTGACTTATTATTGATTCGGATGAATACATTTATGGGGTTATCCATACCTTCTGCCTATTAAATATGCGCTAAAAAACATAAACTTCAACAATCAAATTTTTAATGAATTCCCAACATTAATAAGTTCACAGTATACATATATATATATTGGTAAACATTCGACTTACTAAAGTAAAATACATATTACAATACTATAACATATTACTCAATACAGAACTTTCGATGGTGTATACAAAAAGGACTCTGAACTAATTTAATTAAATTTTGAAAGCCGATTCTTAAAATTGGGGATATTAAACGATTGAAAGAATTGAAACTTGTTTCTTGATAATTTTGGCAAATGGTTAAACTATTGATCAAAAAGCGGAACGGAGTTGAATAAAATTATACAAAAGCTTTACATGGAAAGAAAGTCAACGCCGCGACAGAAGGTCATTTATATATGTGCGCGAGCGGACGCCGAATGCGAATGGTGCACGGCTGCGATTACTTAAGCATTCCGTTAGTGGGGGTTGAAGAAAGTATGTTTAAGTGGATTCTAAAATGCGAATGCCAATTTCATGGTCTTGCATCACAACAGCAACGCGGGTAGCGTCAGGCCATAGCCGGGAGTGGGCCAAATTCGTTTCAAAAGTGACCGTCTGAAAATTGGACAAAGTGGATGCCGCGGCCGATGCCGTGTGTGGGTTCAAGGCATACAATAAGGCATACAAACATAGCCGGAGGCAGTAACAACAACATCATATACCTCCACACTCACACTCCCACCCACACACACACACACACACATACACACTCAAGCCCGTCACATAAGCACATGTGTGAGCGACCACCCGAGCCGGACTCCTGTCCGTTTTGGCGCTATACCCAAACCACCCACCGTCTGCCGCCCTCACACAATCACAAGCACACACCCACAAACACACACACACAGCACATACACATACACCGTCATCTACGTCCTACGCACACTTTCAAGCCAACTTACTTACATATATGATGCCAGTGTGTCCGTCCATCCCCCATCGGCGTCCTCTAAATTGCGTTTGTCCCTTGAAAGAATCGTCCTAAGATGAAAGTGCTGTCCCTTGTCCGCCAACCGTCCGTTAGCATCGCTGAAAATTTGCTCGTGGCATGAACACATGTGGCGTAATTTCGTCGCAGATTTTTGTTCGCTAACTGGACAAGGATATTCGTACACTGCAACACATTTCTTGGCACTGACTACAAAATAGAAGCATCTGATTTCTAGACCCTATAGAACTGCCAGCATTATTTGAGAAGGGTTTCCCCAAACATATATATTATCTTTACTGTGGGTGTATAAGATTATAGTTATTATAGCACTTATTAAAAATGTTCTAATAAAATATATTAGTACACATATCATATTTCGATCAGAGTTTACATTATTCAGCTTTAATTTAAGATCAATAAATTTGATTGATTTGATTAGTTTCGTTTGGCCAATGAATGAGTATAGAATATATTAATAAATAAATTGTCTTAGTAATATAAAAATAGTCCTAATAAATAGGCGAAATATGCGAATAGAAGTTTAAATTTCAAAGGAATTGCTCTCGTTTCGTTCAGTGCGACTCGGAATCACTCACTCCACACGTCTCCCAGAGCGGCAGATATTCGTGCTTCCTTTGGCGAGCCGTGGGCCACGGTGAGGCCTTTGTCGTTTTTGCTACCACGGTCCTGGCAGTGTCCAGCTTGCCGTAAGTACAGTTGTGCAAATACACTTCTAGCGGACAGCATCGCGGCCCAAGAATTTGTATTTTATCAGCATCGTGCGCGTCGCGTAGTCAAGGACTTCCAATATTTACGCGAAATACACACACACACACACACACACACATGTATATACATACATACAGCAGTGTAGATACACACATACATGTGTGTGCGATGTGTGGCTGTGCATGTGTTTGTTGAAGCAAATGGGATATGTGACGCTGGGGGAGGGGAGGGTTTCGCCGGCCTCTTTGGGTATGATGTGCATGTGTGCGTGTTTTTCTGTATGGGGGAGTGTGGGAGTGAGAGTGGGGTGGACGGCAAGGCTGAGGGTTATTGTACGATCCTTTCATTTCAGTCCTAAATGTCCTTCTTCCAATATTTCAAACGTGCTCCGTGACGCGTCCGTTTTGTAGGATGAGCGGCTCGAAGGCGGCCCTTTGTGGACACGGACTTTGTCACCAATGCCGCCGTCGTCGTCGTCGTCGTCGTCGTCGCCGTCGTCCGCTCTGCTGCTGCTGCTGTTGCTGCTGCTGCTGCTGCTGTTTCTGTTTCTGTTCTTGTTATTGTTTGCTGCTGCTGTCGCAGCTGACGTGTTGTCCTCGCGTCACGACGCGCAGTTTAGCGGTGGACAGGCGAGAGCTCACGAGGGCTTATGGGCGCTGTGGCCTGTCGTGGGCATGCGGGGCTGGCTGGAGCTGGGGACAGCTTTTATCACGGCGCATTTATTTTTCTATTCCACTTATAATATATGCCAGAAACAGGATACACACCCACATGGGCATATATTGGATATTTATTTTGTATTCGAATGCGCGGCATCGAGCACCGAACGTGGCGGTGTTGTTTGGCCGCTGAGCCGCTGGACGGTGTTAGCCGAGGGTTATCCAGGGTGTATATTTTCATGTGTGTGTGTGTGTGTGAGTTTTTTGTAAGTATTGGGCTTTCACTTCGTTTGGGCAAACGGACGGACACTGAAAAATGGCGAGAATTCGCTTGGGTGATTTGCGCGATGCAGACATACTTACACACACACACACACACACACACACACACACATAATCGTACTTGGTCCCAAACTTACATATGTACATCTGGTATATAGTGTGATGATAAAAACATGTCTTGTTTTCCTTCAATTTTTCGTTTTTTTGCTCTATCGCTTTCGCTTAGCTTTTATCCCAAATATACACGTGCATACGTTAATACAGTTATTGTACTTATTTAATACCTGGTATATGATATTTAAAAAAAAAAAAACGTTAGAAAATAGTTTTTGTAGAGTTGAAGTACATTCAATAGTCTCCCATAGCATTTCTGTAACTTGAATCAAAGTCTTAAGTAATTGAAACAGTTAAGGAATAGAAGAAGGTCTGAAAGTCATTAATAATGTCACATATGTAATTATTGTATTTACCACAATATGTGAATAACTAAATGCCTACTAAAAGTGGGTGTCGATAATTATTGATGCACTGTGCTATAAATCTATAGTTATATTTTGATGTCTTTATTAATTTTAAATTTCAAATATGTATTTTAGGAGAAAACATCATCATCAGCCTATTTCTCGCTGAAAAACACCAATACTTCGGAATAGAAAGGTATGTATATTGATTTTGACTAATTTCCATCCTCTCCAGCCTTCTATTCAACTGTCTTCATAAACTAATTTAATTGGTGCTATTTAAAATGTTCAAAATAAAATCAAATATTTATGCAACACATGTAAGAAGTATCGATTGCTACAACTATTTCTAGAATATTTACTGTTTCACCCTGCTGGCGGCATAGACAAATTGAGATTAGAGTAAAGACAGAAGCTATTTATTCACTTACAGATTTTCACCTTGTCAATGGGGTCAATATTAACGTAACTCTTAACTTTGACATTATCGCATTGACTGAGCTGGCCCCGCCTTCTTGCTGAGTCGGCTCTCGACGCCTCTTTCGCGTTCGAAATCGCTGTTTATTGCCCTAATTGCCCCCATCTTGGCCACTTGTGATGCTGGTAACTGCTTATCTGTGCACAGTTGATATGTTGATGATGTGTTTACTGCAGCTTAAAGTTCCTTTTACGACTTCTTTTATTTATATTTTAGCACAGTGCCTGCGCCTCAGTCTCAGCCAGTGCCAGGCCTTAGCCTGGGCCTGGGCCTGGGCCTGGGCCTGTCCTGGCGTCAATAAATTTTTATGAGCAATGATGTGGTTGCTCACGATGCTGCCGTCCAAATAAACTGATTTCAATGTTTTATGGGCAATATTGTGGCCATTCTTTGTATGTAATTCACGTTACAGTCTCACGCAAGCAAATTAGTTTTCAATTTGTCCAGCAGCTCACGGCTACTTTCCTCCGATGGTTAATTGAAAACCCTCCAAGTATAGTTCTTCTTTCTGCACTTAAGAAGCAGTAAATAGAAGATTTCAGATAAAGTCAGTGCTTAACTTTCACTTACTCAACTTAATTTACTCATTCTACTTTTTATTTACTTCTTTGTGTGACGATTTACTTACTATCTTCATTTTCTTATCATTATCATTGTCTTATCACTGATAATCAGAACACAGCTGGACGTGTCAAGTCACTGACACTTCAAAAAATAGATAAATAAGTAGAATTCATTTTATTGAGTTTGTTTCACTCCATATAATGTAATTGTAATTCCTTGATTTTAATTCCTATAGAGGACCCAATTTGAATTTAAATTTATTGGTTTTAGTATATTATTTAAAAAGTAATTTCCCCTTTCTCTACATTATAGACAGCATAAC